TCCCAACCTAAGAGCGATCGCCTCCCAACCTAAGAGCGATGGCCTCCAACCTAAGAGCGATCGCCTCCAAACCTAAGAGCGATGGCCTCCAATCCTCAGAGCGATGGCCTCCCAACCTAAGAGCGATAGACTCCTAACCTAAGAGCGATGGCGTCCCAACCTAAGAGCGATGGCGTCCCAACCTAAGAGCGATCGCCTCCAACCTAAGAGCGATCGCCTCCAACCTAAGAGCGATGGCCTCCCAAACTAAGAGCGCCCTCCCAACCTAAGAGCGCCCTCCCAACCTAAGAGCGATCGCCTTCCAACCTAAGAGCGATCGCCTCCGCGATGGCCTCCCAACCAAAGAGGGATGGCCTCCCAACCTAAGAGCGATCGCCTCCAAACTAAGAGCGATGGCCTCCAACCTAAGAGTGATAGCCTCCCAACCTAAGAGCGATGGCGTCCCAACCTAAGAGCGATCGCCTTCCAACCTAAGAGCGATCGCCTCCCAACCTAAGAGCGATCGCCTCCCAACCTAAGAGCGATGGCCTCCCAACCTAAGAGCGATGGCCTCCCAACCTAAGAGCGATGGCGTCCCAACCTAAGAGCGATCGCCTCCAACCTAAGAGCGATGGCCTCCCAACCTAAGAGCGATGACCTCCCAACCTAAGAGCGATGGCCTCCCAACCTAAGAGCGATGGCCTCCCAACCTAAGAGCGATCGCCTCCAACCTAAGAGCGATGGCCTCCCAACCAAAGAGCGATGGCCTCCCAACCTAAGAGCGATGGCGTCCCAACCTAAGAGCGATGGCCTCCCAACCCAAGAGCGATCGCCTCCAAACTAAGAGCGATGGCCTCCAACCTAAGAGCGATGGCGTCCCAACCTAAGAGCGATGGCCTCCCAACCTAAGAGCGATCGCCTCCAACCTAAGAGCGGTCGCCTCCAAACTAAGAGCGATGGCCTCCCAACCAAAGAGGGATGGCCTCCCAACCTAAGAGCGATCGCCTCCCAACCTAAGAGCGATGGCGTCCCAACCTAAGAGCGATCGCCTCCCAACCTAAGAGCGATGGCCTCCCAACCTAAGAGCGATCGCCTCCCAACCTAAGA